AAAAAAAAAAAAAAAAAAAAAGGTCAAGGGGAGATTTACATTCAAGGGGCCTACCCTCTCCCTCTTCCCTATGGCTTTTGGGGCCATATCAATGTTTTCTCCTGGCTGTGGCCTTGGTGGATACCATTTCCCCCTTAAGCAGCCCACCAGCCTGACCCCTTAGAGCTTCATAGCCTCCTGTGGTCTGCCATCCTATGGGCCTCCTAAGCCTTTTTGGTGGATTGGGTCCCTCCCCTCCCTTCCTGGCCCAAGGCCTGGGTCCAGGGGTGGCTGAGCCTGATGCAGCCCCCACCCCACCCTAAATCACCAGCACATGGTTCTCTGGCTACTTCCTTAGGGGTACACAAAAGTCCTCATACCTGTTGGATCTCATTGGGTTTCAAGGACCTACTGTCCAGGAAGTATGGCCTCCAGGGTCTCCTGAGCCTAAATGCAGGCAGTGATAGGGAAAGAGGCATGGACTTATTAGGGCTCCAAGTAGAAACCTGGATCTTGAGTGCACACACACAGCCGCCCTTCTGGCAGCATCCACCACGCCTCTCCTCCCCTCCCCAGATCCTGACCACTGCAGCTGGAAGGGAAGTTAACATCAGTGCATGCCTGGCTCTGCCCCCCGGTTCTCCTCTCAGGCCCTGAGCAGAGCTGCCCATAGCCCAGGATGCCACAGTGTTTCTGGAGGCCACCTGGAAAAGCGAGAGGAACAGGAGAGGGTGTACCTCCCATCTGCCCCCTGAGTCTATACCACTGCCTCCCAGACACTTCAAGGCCTGGCATTCAACTGGGGCCTGGGGCAGGTTCCCAGATGATTTTTGTTGTTGTTGTTTGTTTGTTTTTTGAGATGGAGTCTCGCTCTGTTGCCCAGGCTGGAGTGCAGTGGTGTGATCTCAACTCACTGCAACCTCCACCTCCCGAGTTGAGGCGATTCTCCTGCTTCAGCCTCCTGAGTAGCTGGGATTACAGGCGCACGCCACCATTCCCAGCTAATATTTTGTCTTTTTTTTTCAGTAGAGATGGGGTTTCATCATGTTGGCCACGCTGGTTTCAAACTCCTGACCTCAGATGATCCTTCTGCCTCAGCCTCCCAAAGTGCTGAGATTACAGGTGTAAGTAAGCCACTGCACCTGGACCCCCTTTTTTTTCTTTTTTCTTTTTTTTTGAGACAGGAGGCTCAGACGGGAGGCTGAGGTAGGAGGATCTCTGGAGCCCAGGAGTTGGAGGCTGCATGATGGCGCCACTGCACTCCCGCCTGGGCGACAGAGGGAGACACCTTCTCTAAATAATAATAATATATAAAAAGATATACGTAACCCTCCGGGCTCCCCTCTCACTTCTGTATACACCTGCCTCCTTCTGCATCCGTCACCCAATTGTTCCTCCCGGCCAACAAGCCGGTGGCACCCCCAAGGCAGGGGTCCTGCAGCAGTCGGTGTAGGCAGCCTGCGCAGAAGGCTTATCATAGATCTGCCTCTGGCCACGAGATCTTCTGTTCCCCCTACGGCTGCCAGCCGCAGCTGTCCACTACCCCTTAGCTTTGTTATCTCTATTCAGGGGCTTCCTGCTGCGCACTCCAAAGGGGTGCAAGTTTCCAAAGAGAGATCAAGGGATATGGGGAGCGGAGAAAGGTACAGCTTGGGGTTCCCGCTCAGCCAGGACTAGGAGGTCTCTGTGGGGGCAGAACAGCCCTTCTAGCGCTCTGAGCATGCGCCGAAGAGCGCCCACGGGGGCAAGCCACGCCGAGGGGAGAGGGTGGTGTGTATGTGTGTGTGTGGGCGGGGGGGGGGGAAACCTCCCGACTGACGCATGCGCAGAGGCAAGAGCCTCCCTCGGGCTTTTCTCGCGCCTGCGCAAGATCCTCCAGCCCGAAAGGGGGCGATGAGCCGATCCTTACGCGGGTTTGTCTCGTTGGAGTAATCCGGAAGAGGCCTCTTACCAGGGCTCTGGAGGAGGCGGCGGCAGATACTTGGGGTCTGGACGCGACGGCGGCGGGAGCATGAACGCCCCTCCAGCCTTTGAGTCGTTCTTGCTCTTTGAGGGCGAGAAGAAGTAAGTGACGCTGGCTGCGGCGGGCCGAGGTGCGCGGGCCTGCGACTGTCGCATTCTGGGGTGTCTCCTGCCCATCTCTTGCCCCGGGAGGGAAACAGCTTTTGCTTGATCGACCGCTCGGCCTGTTTTAAGGCCGTTCCGCGAAGCAGTGACGAGTGTGTACATTTTGCAGATGAGGACACTGAGGCTCGGAGGAGCAAGTTCCCCCGGACACGCAGGAAGTGGCGGGGTTGTATTCGAACCTAGAGTGTCTGGTTCTCCATGGCCCTTTTCCTCTGGGATCTGGCAGCCTCCTGTCTTGTCTCTCGCCCTCCACTTCCATCCTCCATCCCCCATCCCCTCCGATCTGTCAGCGGCCTGTGTAAAAGCCGCAGTGGCTCCTCGCTGCCTGCGGGTTGAAGGAGTCCAGGGGAGAGAGCTTGGGCTCAGCCCCTGCGTCCCCCACTTAGCTACTCTGTATCTGTGACTTGATCTGCTGGAGGCCCTGTTTCCTCATGTGGAAAATGAGTTTATTACTGTACTTAAACATGGGATTCAGGCCGGGTGCGGTGGCTCACGCCTGTAATCCCAGCACTTTGGGAGCCCGATGCGGGCGGATCACCTGAGTTCGGGAGTTCAAGACCAGCCTGACCAATATGGAGAAACCCCTACTCTACTAGAAATACAAAATTAGCTGGGCGTGGTGGCGCGTGCCTGTAATCCCAGCTACTCGGGAGGCTCAGGCAGGAGAATCACTTGAACCTGGGAAGTGGAGGTTGAGGTGAGCGGAGATCACGCCATTGCACTCCAGCCTGGACAACAAGAGTGAAACTCCATTTAAAAAAAAAAGAAGGGATCTGGCCGGGTGCGCTGGCTCACACTTTTAATCCCAGCACTTTGGGAGGCTCAGGTGGGAGGATCGCTTGAGCACAGGAGTTTCAGGCTGCAGTGAGCTGTGATCCCATCACTGCACTGCAACCTGGGCGACAGAGTGCAATCCTGTCTCAAAATAAAAATAATTGGATGAGGTAATTTGTGTAGAGCTCTTGGTCCAAAGCTCAGCACCTGGAAGACCTCATAACCATTGGCTCTTACTGTTCCCAGGTTGCCGTGCAGAGGTCTGGGTGTGGCCCTTGCCAGCCACTTAGGCCTCCTTTAGAGCAGACTCGCAACTGGGGACCATTTGACCCCACAAGGGTCATTTGGCAATAACTGGGAACATTATTGGTTGTCAAAGGGGTTATGACTAGAATCTACTGGATAGAGGTCAGGAATGCTGCTGATGTCCTACAATGTCCACAAGACAGCACCCCACAGGAAAGAATTATGCACCCTAAAATGTGTGTGGTGTCAACGTGGAGAAACCACCTTGGAAAAAAGGAACAGGGCAGGCATGATGACGTGCACCTGTGGCCCCAGCTACTCAGGAGGCTAAGGTGGGAGGATCACTTTAGCCGAGGAGTTGGAGGCTGCAGTGAGCTAGGATCACACCACTGCACTCCAGCCTGGGCAGCAGGAGGGATCAATTGAGGCGAGGAGTTCAAGACCAGCCAGGACAACAAAGCAAAACCCCATCTCTACAAAAAAAAAAAAAAAAAGGAATTCAGAAAAGGCCAAGGTTCCATAGATCTGGGGTAGCAGGAAGTAGGGGACCAGGTTGGCGAGGTCTTTATGGGATGAAGAAATTGAGAAAGGTCTTCAGGAGGAGGCAGAGCTTGTTTTCCTATATATATAGGGATATATACACATAGGAAAAAAATATATATATATATATTTTTTTTTGTCGGAGTCTTGCTGCAAGCTCTGCCTCCTTGGTTCATGCCATTCTCCTGCCTCAACCTCCCGAGTAGCTGGGATTACAGGCAGCAGCCACCACTCCTGGCTATTTTTTGTATTTTTAGTAGAGATGGGATTTCAACGTGTTAGCCAGGATGGTCTTGATCTCCTGACCTCGTGATCCGCCCATCTCGGCCTCCCAAAGTGCTGAGATTACAGGTGTGAGCCACTGCGCCCAGCCTTTATTTTTATATTTTTGATACAGAGTCCCTCTGTTGCCCAGGCTGGAGTGCAGTGGCGTGATCTCGGCTCACTGCAACTCCACCTCCCAGGTTCAAGTTATTTTCCTGCCTCAGTCTCCCCAAGTAGCCAGGACTACAGGCATGGACCACCACACTCAGCTAATTTTTTTTTTTTTTTGTATTTTTAGTACAGACAGGGTTTCGCCATGTTGGGCAGGCTGGTCTTGAACTTCTGACCTCAGGTCATCTATCCACCTCAGCTTCCCAAAGTGTTGGGATTACAGGCACGAGCCACTGCACCTGGCCGGGAGGAGGCAGGATTTAGACTCAGGGTGGGAGGAGGGGAGCTCCTGCCCCTCATCTGTGGCCTCTGCATCTTCCTAGGATCACCATTAACAAGGACACCAAGGTACCCAATGCCTGTTTATTCACCATCAACAAAGAAGACCACACACTGGGAAACATCATTAAATCGTAAGTTTCCCATCACAGGCTCTCATGGGCTGTGTTTAATGGGCCCCTCTGGGCAAAGCACAAGTTCCAAGATCTTTCTCAGTCTCTCTGAGCTACAGGAGGTCCTTCTGGGGGCTTGCTGTGGGCATTTTATAATCTTGGTACCTATTTTTTTTTTTTTTTTTGAGACGGAGTCTCGCTCTGTCGCCCAGGCTGGAGTGCAGTGGCCGGATCTCAGCTCACTGCAAGCTCTGCCTCCCGGGTTTAGCCATTCTCCTGCCTCAGCCTCCCGAGTAGCTGGGACTATAGGCGCCCACCACCTCGCCCGGCTAGTTTTTTGTATTTTTTAGTAGAGACGGGGTTTCACTGTGTTAGCCAGGATGGTCTCAATCTCCTGACCTCGTGATCCGCCCGTCTCGGCCTCCCAAAGTGCTGGGATTACAGGCTTGAGCCACTGCGCCCGGCATCTTGGTACCTTTTTATCAAAATGACACTGACCTCCATGTCTTCACATAAGCCACGCTTCTGTAGTGGCTTATTCTGTAGATGAACATGTGCACTTACATTCACTTTTTTTTTTTTTTTTCCCCCGAGACGGAGTTTTCGCTCTTGTCGTCCAGGCTGGAGTGCAGTGGTGCAATCTTGGCTCACTGCAACCTCCGCCTCCCAGGTTCAAGTGATTGTCCTGCTTCAGCCTCCCTAGTAGCTGGGACTACAGGCACACGCTACGATGCCCGGCTAATTTTTGTATTTTTAGTAGAGATGGGGATTCACCATGTTGGCCAAGCTGGTCTTGAACTCCTGACCTCAGGTGATCCACCTGCCGGCTTCCCAAAGTGCTGGGATTACAGATGTGAGCTGCTGCGCCCGGCCTTACGTTCACTGTTAAGTGCACATTCTATAAATGAACGAGCAGCAGATTCCAGCACAGTAGGCCTGTGTGTTGTTCATGCTAAGGGGCATTGAAAAGCAGTCAAGATTAGCTCCCTTCATGCCACCTGTCTGTGACCTCAGTGCCACCTGGGACTCTAAGATGTATGTGGCAGAGACTAGAACTTCTATTTAACAAGAGAAAGAAGTAGGAGAGTTCTGTGGTGTTCCAGTGCCCCTGATGGGTGCCCTGCATTAGTTGGTGGATGTTCGTTTACACCAGTGAGGTCCTAGCCAGGTGGTCGGTCAGGGATGTGACGGCCACTCTGGCCCAGGGACTTGTCATTTTCCTGTAGACTTGGCTCTTCCCTCTGGTGCCACCAGCGAAGCCAGGCCTTTCCCTGTCTGTGAGTGGGGTCTGCCCAGTCTCCTGGTGTGGTCGGGCACAGGGATGGAGAACTCTTGCCCGGAGCCCAGCCAGTGGGGCACCCAAGCTCTCCTGGGGCCCTGCTGCTCCCCTGCTCTTGAGCCCAGTGTTGCCAGCTATGCATGGGTCCCCCTCGTGGTGCTCACACCACTCTGAGCTGCTCTAGAGGAGACCCCAGTGTGCCCAGGGCACAGTACGTGACGCAGCCCCATCCAGTATGCGTGGCCAGCCGCCGGCAGCTGTGCTGCTCGGAGGACAGAGTTGCATTTCCATTCCACTCACTGCTCAGAGCCCGGGCCCTCCTCTCCTTGCTGTCTTTATTTGCTGTGTGGATGCTCTTTTTGGGCTTTTTGGGTCTGAGTCACTGAACACTGTCTGGACATTCGCTGCCTAGGAGATCTCTCTGCCAGCACTGCGGTTCCCTGTGGGAAGAGGTTGCTGGAATCCGTTTCCAGCTTGGGTCCTTCAGCCTCATGGATGTGGGGGGTGTGGGGGACCATGTGTGTGTCCTTCAACATCATGGATGCAGGGTGTTATATGTGTGTGTGTGTGTGGCGGGTAGGGTGTTCCCACATGAGGTATCTTCCTAAAAGCATTACTTTCCTTGAAGACTTTTGGGGAAAAAAATTGGGGGGTTGGATTTTTGGCTGGAAAGTCTGTTCTGCTCTGAGCTGGCTGCCACCCAGCTTGGGCCTGAGCCCCGAGGGCATGAGGCTAGACCTTCACACTGTCTGTCCCTGGACCGCAGACAACTCCTAAAGGACCCACAGGTGCTATTTGCTGGCTACAAAGTCCCCCACCCCTTGGAGCACAAGATCATCATCCGAGTGCAGACCACGCCGGACTACAGCCCCCAGGAAGCCTTCACCAACGCCATCACCGACCTCATCAGCGAGCTGTCCCTGCTGGAGGAGCGCTTCCGGGTGAGGGCGGGGCCCGGAAGGGCGGGCGGCGTGGGCTGGACACCGGCCCATGTGCCCATGCCTGGGACAGCCCTAGCCTGTTTCTTCGGAGGTCTTGGGGGAGAGGCGGTGCTCATGGAAGGGCAGGGACTTCCACCACAGGCTTCAGGACGTGTGGACTGAGAGGTTGTGGAGTCCAGGCCTGCGGCTTGCCTGCCCCATGGGACTTCCGTAGCGCGGCAGGGTCCCCTCATGTGCTGTGAGCCGGATCGGGGCGGGGAGCTGCTGTCCTTTGCGGGTGCTCTTCTACGTCCCTTATCTGTGGTTGGCAAGGCCTGGTCCTTCCAGGCCTCTGTCTGGGAGGCAGCTCACCCCAGGGTGGCCCATGCCTGTTCCCGGCAGGGCACCTGGGAGTCTATAACAGTTTAGAGGGGAAAGAGCCACAGCTTGGGGGATTTCAGTGTCTTGAGTCATCTGCTCCCCAGGAAGCCTGTGGCCCCTGACTCCTGCCTGGGCTGCCATAGAGAACGGCTGGACTGGGCCAGCTGGGAGGGCTCTTCGGTTGCTCCACTGTCCTGGGGAGTGTGGCCCATGGCTGCCCTCCAGGAAGGGCCTGGTCAGGGGATGCTGGGCTTGTTTCCCCAGCGTCCTTGCCCCAGCCGTTCCAACTCAGT